AAAGAAATGTACAACATAAAATACACAATATAGGAGTGACACAACTGATGATAGGCAACATCTACAAAGCATACAACCTTGAGAAGACATATTACCTCAAGGTCTCTTCTGTGATTTTTCTTATAAGACCAAAGGTCCCTAACCAACACTTTCTGAACTACCAGGCACAACCAACTGATTAGAGCTAGCATTAGCAAATCCACAGATGGCACCTTTAAGATAAGTTTCAATGATTACATACTAAAAGTCTTAGTGGAAACAGGCTGCAAAAATTAGCGAGATGATTAGGGATTAGTACATAAATAAATACTTTCAGTCAAAATAATTGCCCCAACATCTCAAACCACTGCCTCAGGTACCTTGTGATAACTACGCTCTGGTTTTTTCCTCAATCCAGCACATCACAACTCCCAGAAATTAGTTTAAATGTTGCAACAGCAAAAAGTGATTGAGAGTGGTGTAGGAAAGAGTACCACCTGAATCTGGTGCTCAGGGAAGTGGCAACAATTTTTGCATAAGGCAATGGAAGCTAGCAACATCTTCCCCTTCCTGTGCTTTTCTGCTTGTGCTCTATATGGCTACCCAGAACTGACAAGGTCTGTTCATTTAAGATGGAGATTCCTATTCATAGGGTGCTCTGCTTCAAACATTGCTAAATATACAGGCCCAGTACTCGCTACTCCAATATCCCATGTAAAACTGTCTCTAGAAACAGGATCGTGTACAAACGCTTGGGAACTCAAACCAGGAAAATAAAAAGTCAAGCCAAACAGATTAAAACATCTCTAAGAGAAACAACACAGAAGCCCCAAATACAACTGCAGTGTAAGAGGACTCAGGCAGGCACACACCTCACAATTTCACTACAATCCTTCCTGTACTCTTACACCTGGGCAAAGCAAATAAAGTCACATGAGTTAAGAGAAGAATCCCTTGGCCTTGGAGTCCAAATGCACAGCTCTCCGGCTCTCCTAGTCTGGCCAATCACCCAGCTTCCTCTCCGACATTTGGGAATCAGGTTCTTGCATGTGAAGGCCCAGAAACTAATGGCAGCACAAACTCCTGAACCTCAAGCAAATTATCAACCCCAGACTGGAGAAAAGCATGGAGAGGGAAGTAGGTGCTTTGGCTCAAGTATAAAGCTCTCCCTCTGAGCTGAGGAGCTCAGCAATGCTGCTTGCAGGCCCAGAGTTAACACCCCACCAAACTAATACGAACAGAAAAAGAAACAGAAACCCATGGTGGGGAGACTCCCCCAGCAATTACACAGTTCCTACCTGACATAAGTTCCAAAGCCTGAGATTCGTTCAAGTTACAGCTCCCAAGCTCCACTGCACAGAGCTGGGCGCCGGCCTCCTGGCTCCCTAAGGCCAAACTGTACTTCAGGGCACTTCCAGCAGCAAGGCAAAGAAAAGAATCCGGAAGAGGCAGACTTAAAACGCCCGTGGTGGGCGGGGAGACACATGCGCAAAAGCATCTTCTGCCCCACCTCCACCCTCCAAAAAACAAAAACAACCCAGGTCTTTCAAAGAAAATATCCTCCATGGAGACTACAATTCCCACAATGCTCGGTGCCACCCTGCTACATACCTGGGAACAAGTGGCTTGGGTGCATTGGGACTTTTCTCTCCCTGCTGTGGCAGTTAAGCTCAGTTTCTTCTTGAAAACCCCTGTTTCCTCTTGAAATACATAAGACCACCCAGAAAAGGGATATATATGGGGAGAATTGGATACATTGGCTTTTTGATTCTTACTTCTAAAAATGAAATTGAGGTTATGAGACTGCGTTGCTTATACCTTTCTGTTTATTCAATGCCTGCCTTCTGCTGAATGTAAATTATATCTCTGTTTTGTCTTAAAATTTTTAATACATCCCCTCTTACTTTACAAAGGTACTCGCAGCCACTAAACTTATACCTGGGTCATTTGCCATTGCTGTAATGTATACACTGGCATAAAATAGTGAGATTGTTAGGTAAATATGCACCATAATACCTCTGGTGATTTGGATTTCACAAATCTAACAATTAGTTTTCCAGAAACTCCCCAATTCTATCTATTTAATCAAATAAATTTTTGTTTTTTTCTGAATTTTGCATTTCATTTAAGGATTTTATGTTTTGTTTTGTTGTTGGTCCTATGGCTTGAACTCAGAGCTTGGGCACTCTCTGTGAGCATTTGCTGTACTCTATTTGCATTTCCTTTAAAAATTTCTTCAGGTATCAAGTGAAAAGTTTCCTCACAGGGATTCTTATGAACATGGCACATCACCTCCATTTCCCTTCAAAGGTATAGTGGTTTGGGGTGTCAGGGATGAATGCAGGAGGGATAGAAGAGTGAAGTTTAGGCTAGACTATGTTGATGTGAAGCTTAATCACTTGCAAACCAGTCTGCTTTTGTCTTTTCATTTTGCATGTGAAAATCTCTTTAGAATTCTTACCTCTTCTCTGATCCTAACAGTTCCTCTCAGTAGCTTTAGACTACATATCTAAGGGCCCTCAGACTTGTCTTGTTAGACCTTATCCATTAAACTGTGGAATAAATCTTTTGTCTCCTGCCACAGTCCCATCATAGTACTTGCAAGGCTCTGAGAGCCAATGGGATGATAATTAAGGAGACAGAGAGATGGCTGATGGCACAATTCTGCTATATTTTTCAAATGCTTGGGTAATATTGGTCTAGACCCCGTCGGCCCAAAAGTGCAAACAGCACACACCTTTCCTCATTTTATTTCAATACATGCTTTCCACCCAATCCTCCTGTCAGTTAAACCCCAGGCCAAAAAGCTAGAACACACACTTCCTCAAACCAAGAAAGGACAAGGACTTGTAGTCCTGAGGGTGGGAGCCGATGGCCCTGAGGCCTTTGCTCACATTTTGTCTGCTCCTGGCAGGCACCCCAGGGTCTACAACAGTCTCCCTCTCTCTTATCAGAGAACCTACACTTGTCTCTGAGATGTTTATTGTGATTTTTTGTAATCCCTTCCATAAAAAATAATTGGGAAAGATTGGATTGGAAACTTTCACGTTTGATTTTAGTTCTTCAATGTATGGGTTCTCCATGTCTCTTTTGTGGACCAGAACTATTCCCCATGAAAATGGGAATCAAAGAGCGTATTTGAATGTATAGACTTCAACTTAAAAGCACCTCTAACAATACAAAGAAAAAGTAATTTCATTCTTTAAAACTAAATTCCAGGGAAGTGGCACTGTGGCTCAAGTGGTAGATCACTCTCCTTGAGCTGAAGAGCTGAGGGAAAAGTGCTCAGGCCCAGAGTTCAAGCCCCACAACAACAACAACAAAAAAATCCTCCCTAAAACTAAATTCCTGAGACACAAAGAGTTAAGGATCAGGTAAAAGCTGGGGTGCTAACAAGAGTACCTGTGAAATGTAGTTTTCTTTTCTTTTTCTTTTTTTTGGGGGGAGGGGATCCAGTCTTTGGGCCTCAACTTGACCTTGGTGCTGTCCCTCAGCTCTTCAGCTCAAGGCTGGCGCTTTACCACTTGAACCATAGCACCACTTCCGGCTTTTTTCTTTTTGTTTATGTGGAGCTGAGGAATCAAACCCAGGGCCCCATGCATGCAAGGAAAGTGCAATACCACTTAGTCACCTTCCCAGCCCTTTTTTTTTTTTTTTTGTTAGTCATTGGGCCTGAATTCTGGGACTAGGTACTGGTCCTTGGCTCTTCAGCTCAAGGCTAGTGCTCTACCACTTGAGCCACAGTGCCACTTCTGGCTTATTCTGCTTATGTAGTGCTGAGGAATCGAACCCAGGGCCTCATGCATGCAAGGCAAGCACTCTACCACTGAACCATCTTCCCATCCCTGAAATATAGTTTTCATTGTTCAAGCCTACATTTGTGATGAATTTCTTTATTCCGTTATCCTTTTGTTTTGTTTGTTTTGGTTTATGGTCATGCCACTTGAACTGTGAGCCTAGGAACCAACCCTTAGTCCTTCAGCTCAAGCCAAGTGCTCTACATTGTGAGCTAAAGCACCAATTCTGGTTTTCTGGGTTTTATTGGAGATAAGTGTCTCACAGACATTGCTGCCCAGGCTGACTTTGGACTGCAATCCTCAGGTTTCAGCCTTTTGAATAGCTAGGATTAAAGACATGAGGTACCAGCACCCAGCTTGCATTTCTTTTCTTTTATGTCCCAGCCTTGGGGCTTGAACTCAGTGTCTGGACACCGTCCCTAAAGTTTTGCTCCAAACTAGCACCCTATTACTGGAGCCACAATTCCACATTCGGCTTTTTCTATGCATGTGGTACTGAGGACTTGAACTAGGGCTTCATGCAGGTTAGGTAAGCACTCTACCACTGTTGCTGGACAGCCACAACACCAACAGTGCTCTGGAATGGCAATGGGATGATAATGGAACAGACTGAGAGAAGGTCAATGATGAATCTCTCTTAATTCCAGCAATAACCTTAGCTATAGACACTTTCTAGATCTGTCCAGTGCTTGTATCACATTGTTCTAGTACTCACTGAGTCGACAAGTGCAGACCATATGCATCTTTCCTCATTCTAGTTCAACCTTTGTCCAACAAACACCTAGAGGTAAGCCCCCAGGCCCAGAAGCTACAAGGAACACTCCCTCCTACAAAAAGGGCAAGTACTTATAGCCCTGAAGGTTGGAGTCCATGGTTGTGGAGCTTTTGCTCACACCTTGCCAGCTCCTGGCACCTCAGGGTCTGCACCACTTCCCCCTTTTTCATTTTGTAAATTGAGCAAGTGTCTATCAGCCTGAACCTGGAAAATCAGCAGATCATCCATCTCAGGAAGAATGGAAGAAAAAAGAAATACCAAAACATAAAAAAAGGAAAATGCCTGAGAAATAGCAAAAAGAGTGCTAATACCCCAGGTGAATCCCTGAAGGTAATTGAGAAGTGATACAGCTAAGTCTGCATGGTGGAGTGACCAATACCAGATATCTGACCCTGAAGCTACATAATGCCTAAGCTTAAATGATCACAGGGCGACATTCCTCAAATATGTCACTGGATACTGGTACAAGTCATATTTCCATCATATTTAAGAGGGATAGCACAGATGTACTGACAATTAGCATGACACATCATTTTTAACTGTGTCTTTAGCAGGTCTATGTGATTATCAACATATATCATTGCTGTTTCCAAATCATAAAACATATCACAATCATTTTATCTACTCCCACCTGAATATCAAGGGTACCAGAAACATTTCAAACTAAAGTATTAGCATGTTGTGTTGTAAATATGGTTTACAAGGATCACAGGAGAAGCAGTAGCCCTAGCAAGAAGAGTTGGGGTAGCAATAATGAGGGCAACCAATATTCCCCAAATTCTGCAGCAATGGCTGAGTCCTCTGAACCTCAGTAGCACACAGAGACCCAAACTTATTATACCATGGTTCTATCAACTGATCATGTAATGTAAATTATGGGGATTGCATAGTAAACTAGGAGTACTCATGCAGTTAGTGAGAACACAATTGTTCCTGCAAGAGGCATAAAATACCACCCCATCCTGGAAAACCATACCCAGCCCAACTACTAGCATATATGGATATATAACACAAGCTTGCACAGTAAATGATACAAAACCATGTAACAGGACAGGTCTCTGAAACAGAGGTATGGGATGGTGAGAGGCATTAGTTCAAATAGGCCTCATGGCAGCAGCCAGGCTCAAGATGTCAGGGTGAGCTTGTCCACACAAACTGACAAACATGAGAGCCAGCAAGGTACCACTGATCATGTCACTCCTCTGAGACCAGTCCTGCCTTTCATACTGGGGGACTCCTACCACCAGAACTGTGGACAAGATGTGAAATTCACAGGCCCTCCAGGGCGATGGATCATCGCAACCATGGGAATCGCTGGGCATTGGGGAAGCCAAGAGGGATGCACCACATCTCCTGAAAAAGGAATTTTACAAGTGTTATGCTTAAGCTCCATCTTTTTCCATTGGTTCACCTTTTCCTCCAGAGGAAGTCAGAACCATAATCTATTCCTGAATACCTTACCATACTTGTACCTTCTACCTCAGCATCTGCAATAGTCAATAACTGTAATCAATAAAATAAGAGGATATAATATTTGTATAATAATGAGACTTACGTCTGTGAGCAATGAACAATTCAAAAATAATGTTGGAAGTAAATTCTGTTTATACTAGTATAATAAACATAATACTTAGAAATGAATGTTTGAAAAATGTAACCAAGAACAAGGACAACTATGGGACACAGCTAGTCTAGGAAGCACCCATTTTTACCTGATCCTTATGTCCTTGCCTCTCAGGAACGTACTTTTAACTTTTACAGAAAGAAAGAATTATTCTTCCTTCATATTTTATAGGTGCTGCAATGTTGCAGTCTATACATCCAAATGTGCCTCACGATCTCCATTTTCATGAGGAATAGCTAAGGTCCACTAAAAGAGGGATGGAAAACCCTTACACTGGAGGACTGAATATCAGGCATGAAAATTTCCTACACAATCCTTCCCAGTCATGATGTGGGGAAAGGATCATCAACAATCACAACAAATCATTCAGAGACAAGCTTAGGATGTCTGATATGAGGGAGGGAGGCAAAAGATTTATTCCACAGTGTAATGGATACAGTCTGGGAAGACAAGTCTGAGGACCCCTAGATATGTGGCCTAGACTAGCTGACAGGAACTTCTAGGTTCAGAGAAGAGGTAGAAAATCAAAACAAAATAGGATATGCAAAACAGAAAAGTAAAAACAGACTGGTTTGGAGCAAGTAATGAAGCTTCACATGAACATGGACCTGCCCTGAACTCTACCTCCTCCCACATTCATTCTGATCTACCTAGAAAACTATTTTTTTTAAGAGTCTTGGAGGAGGAGTAACATTTTCTAAAAAACCCCTGGGGGGAAACTTTTCACTACTCCCCTGAAGCAATTAATAAAAGAAAGGCAAGTACATTACAGCAAATGCTCACAGACAGTGCCCAAGCTCTGAGTTCAAGCCACAGGACCAACAACAAAATGAGGGATATTCTTTATAAGGAAAGACAAATTTCAGACACAAAAAACCATACACTCCTTAAAATTTCATAGATGGAATTTGGGAGTTTCTGGGAAATAATGAGTAGAATTTGACAAATCAATTTAATTCAAACATTATAAAGTATATCTGTCTTTAAATTCTGTTATTTTATTCCAATATATATATTAGAACAGGGGAAGATGATGCCAGAATCAATCATTTTACTGTCTGCAAGAACTTTTTTTTTTTTTGGTCGATCTTGTGGCTTGAAACCAGCCTGAGCACTGTCCCTTCGTTTTTCAGCTCAAAGTGAGCTCTCTACCACTTGAGCCACAAGGCCACTTCCATTGTTTTGGTAGTTACATGGAGATAGGACTTATGAACTTTCCTGCCCAGGCTGGCTTTTAACAGGAATCCTCATATCTCAGCTTCCTTAGTACCTAGGATTACAGACATGAGCCATTGGCACCCAGCTGCAAATACCTTTGTAAAGTGAGGGGGGAGATATTCAAAACTTTAAGGAAAAACAGAGACATAATTTACATTCAGCAGAACGTACTTTTTGAACAGAAACAAAAAAAAACTTCGTATTTCATAAACTTAATTATATTAAAATAACTAAGAATTAAAGAGCCAAATTATGCAATGCTCCTAATACATTTGTGTTTTTCAATGGTCTCACAATATTTACGTTGGTAAACTGAATTTTCAAGAAACTTACCTAAGTTTCCCCAGCTGGGAGAGAAAGGTCCCCATGCATCCTTGCACACTTAGGACCAAGTGCCTTGTGCCAGTCAAAACCTTGTAACAAGCCCACTTCCTCTAGGTGAATGGTGCATGCATTCTGGGAATTGTAGTTTCTATCTTGGCATAGACCTTTGCAAGTGTGGGGGGGGGTCCCAGGGGGTAAATCAGGAGAGGTGGGGGTGAGGGGAAGAGGCACCAGTGCCTCTTTGCCCACTGTTCGTGTTTTTAGTTTGCAAATTTGGGTTACTTTGCTTTCCCCTTGCTGCTGGAAGTGCTCTGAAGTACCGCTTTGCACTCCATAGTCAGAGTCAAGAGGTAGAAGCCCAGCTTCTGTTTTTCAGGGGAACTTGGGACCTGTAACTGGAAGCAATCTGAGCCAGAGTCTACCCTTCCCATCTTTCCCCATTCTGGGGTGGATGATATTTTATGGGCTCATAGGTTTGTGCTGCCATTAGCACTTGTTCCTCCAGGTGCCAGAAAGTGGCTACAAACCTCTGTTCTACTTGACAAGGACAGTCAGGAGTTGTGCGTTTATACTTCTGAACCTAGAGATTCTGGTACTCACCCATGTGACTTTATGAGCTTCCATTTTGTGCATTGTAGCCAGTGAATGGTAAACATTCCTTGAAAATGTCTTATATAAACATATTGATCCTCTTTTCATCCTCTGCACTTCTAATGACTTTAGAAACTTTCAAAATGCTGCTGGCACAGATATAGTCCAATTGATGTGTCTGTTTTGACAAATTACAATTTCTCCACTAATTTAATTAGCCTACTTTACATCACTTAAAATGAGAGAGACTGGCTGGGAAGGTGGTTCAGTGGTAGAATGCTTGCCTTGCATGAATGAAGCCCTGTGTTTGATTCCTCAGAACCACATAAGCAGAAAAGGCCAGCAGTGCACTGTGGCTCAAGTAGTAGAGTGCTAGCTTTGAGCTTAAGGTCAGAGGGACAGTGCCCAGGGTCAGAGTTCAGACCCCACACGGACAAAAAAAATGAAAGAGATTTCCTACACATGTATACCAAAAACAATTGTTAAAATATAATTTGAATACAATACAATGCCCTTGATATGTGTCTGCCTGTCCTGATTCTTGAACTCAAGGTCTGGAAACTGACCTCGAAATTATTTGGTTCAATGATAATATCCTACCACTTAAGCCACATTCCCACTTCCCACTACTTTGGTAGTTTATTGGAAATAAGTCTCTCAGACTTTCCTATCCCCCTGGCTTCAATCTGTGATCCTTGTAGGGTTTTTTCATGTCCATCCCAGGGGACCACAAGCAGGCACAGGAAAAAGATTATTATAAGGTTTATTAGAAGGCCCATATTTCCCAGGAGAAGGAGCACAAGCATTTGTCCCTCTTCTGGTTGCAACAGGATCTGGGGGGCAGGAAGTGAGTTAAGTACATGCTCAGGTGAGTCTGAGATGAGAGAGGGAGTGGCCAGCTGTGTGGAGGGAACTCTAGGTCTGGGAGGAGCTCAGGTCTGGGTGGAGCTGAGGACTAAAAGTGAGGATAATATTAACTTTCCTCAGATCTCAGCCTTCTGAATACCTAAGTTTACAGCTATTAGACATGATAGCCCAGTTACAATGCTCTTTTTTAAATTCAGATTATATTCTAATGAAATAATATGAAATAGAAAATTTGAAAGTTTTAAGGCACAATGTTCAGTCACTAAGGTGTATGAGGACAGTCCAAATCCCAAAACACACAGAAAATGCCCCCACCTTGAAATCTGTAACACTCCTGATCTTAAGTACTGTGAATGTGAACACTTAGCCTATACTAAATTCTTTTAAGTTTTTCAAAGTAAGAAAACATTCTTGTGACAGAAAAACCCAGTAGTAATGAGCAAGTATTGCTTTTAAAGGATTCATAGTGTCTTTCTGAGCAAAAACAACCTCAATGATGTATACAGAATAGATTTTCACTTTTTGTATATGTCACTGTAAAGGTGATGTATTTTATATTAACAATTACCTTTCTAAGTAATTGTAAAAACTACATCACTACTCGATAACAGAATATCCTGTGTAATCAACCAATAAGTACAAGCAAAAGCACATAGGGATAAAATTTGTTGGTTTTATTTTTGATGGATCTATATTTTGGGGTGTATTTTCTGTTAAGATTGTGTAGTAACACATAAGACTTCAATATACTGGTGCCTTGGCTGGGGATGGTTGACTGGGATTTTGTCACTCCTCTGACCAGCATTTTATCTTGCATCTTTATTAGCCCCTGTATCTCCAGCAGAATGGACATGATTCTTAATATGACTACTTAGGAAAGTGAGGGACTTCTCAGTCTGTGTTTATATCATCAGTACTGATGTACCTTTGGCCAAAGCAGGTTCAAACTCAAATTGCAAGTCATTGTACAAGGTATGCTAATTATTTGCATAAAGGGTAATGTGCCATATGACAACCATTACTGAAATATTATAAAACAAAAATATGTGTTGTATATATTTTATCTCTATAACTTTGTGTGAAAATACTGTTCATAACATACATGTGTTTGAAGATGTAAATAAATGAGGTAGAGCACAAATAATCAATGGAGTTCTAAGATATCTTTACATTAATAGAAAAATAGTTTATATATCCCTAGGTATATTTCACTGATAATTACTTTTAGTGAACAAGTGACATGTTTTCCTTTTTTGGGTTCAATTTTTCAACAATCTTTTGTAGGAGCTTTAGATTTTTTTTTCTGTTCTTTTTTTGGGGGAGGGTCTGGTCTTGGGGCCTGAACTCTGGGCCTGGGCCCTGTACCTTAGCTCTTCAGCTCAAGGCTAGCACTCTACTACTTGAGCCACAGTGCCACTTGCAGCTTTTTTCTTTTTTCTTATGTGGTGCTGAGGAATCGAACCCACGGCCTCAGTCATGCAAGGCAAGTGCTCTACCACTGAGCCACCTTCCGAGCCCCCGTGCATATGTCTTTAGTGGACACTTTAATGCTCTTCTTAAGACAGGAATGATTCTTCTCCCATAGGAAGGCTCTTCCAGCCCACATATCATGTTTTGTACAGGAACATCTAGGGTAAAATCACACAGGTTCTTTTCTGACTCCCTTATTTGCCTTCGCTCCAAGCCATGGTTCCAGAATCTTTATTCATTGTCAACAGCAAGAAAGCAT